GATTAGACAAACAAGTACACAGGAAGTGCTAAAAGGAGGGTGTGACAGTAAATGCTTCAAAGTGTTACTTATTTCCACTTTACTGGAATGTGGAGGCTTGCTACTCAGTTATACAGGTAGTATTATGGTGTCCCAGGAACAGATTGCATGTAAAGCAACACGCAACAAACAATGTTCTCTTTATGATGCTGAGAACTAAAGCTGATATATTGTAAAGATCAGGCAAGCATTCTGCCATTGAGCTACCTCCCAATCCTCAAAACAGGCATTTTCTTAGTGCATTTATGTCAGGCACTGTCTAAATTTTGAGTACAGATCCAAGAAAGAGTAGATGCAGTTTCTAGTTTGAAGGGACTGCATTTCAATGAAGCAAACTATATCTAGTATAGTAAATTATGTATGTATGTGTGTGTGTGCATGCGTGTGTGTGTGTGTGTGTGTGTGTGTGTGTGTGTGTATGTATGTATGTATGTATGAATAATCTTGCAGAAAAGAAAGCAGCTGTAGAAATGAAGAATAATGGGAGATACAGATGTTCCTCTATATAGAACAATGTTTTTTAAACTCAATTTTTAAAAGATTTATTTATTATGTAAACAGAGTTCTTCCTGCGTGTGTGCCTGCAGGCCAGAAGAGGGCACCAGATTTTATTACTGATGGTTGTGAGTCATCATGTGGTTGCTGGGAATTGAACTCAGGACTTCTGGTGGAAGAGCAGCTAGTGCTCTTAACTGCTGAGCCATCTCTCCAGCCCCTGGAACAATGTTAATGTCTCCAAAATCCCATTGAAAGTTGAAAATACTGAGAAAAAAATGTACCTAAAACACCTGACTTACCAAGCGTCACAGCTTAGAAATTCACCACACTGTTGAGAAAAGGTGATCTATCTTCATAATTTATTTTTGTGACCCAGGGCTGTGCCTCACTATTGCTGCCCAGGATTCCAAGAGAATATTGTAACAAACAGTGTTAGCCCAGGAAAAGCTAACTGTTCACATCTCAAAACATAGCTTTTACTTAATGCATACACCCTTCTCATATCATCGTAAAATGAAAAAAAAATAAGTTGAATTACTGTGGATATTATGACAGGCTATTTTTGATGGACTGTTCAGGACTCTCAGGAGTAGTTGCTATTTGAGTGTGGATGTGAATGAAGTGAGAGTATGAATACTAAGAAAAATCGGAAGCAAAAAAATTCTACAAGCCAGGAACAACATAATAAAGTCTGGGAGGCAGAGCCAAATTCAGTAGTGCAGGAACAAACAGAAGGACCATGTGTTAAAAGAAATGACTTAGTATTTGCAGATGGGATTGGAGTAGCTAAATGATTTTGGGTTTATATAGATAATAGCTCTATTCATCAACTCAGTGGAAATGATGAGCATCATGTTCCAATGTCTTAAGTGTAAAATTATACAGAAATCATATCTAAAAATAAGCAAGATATTTGGATGACTACGACTATTTTAACACTCACAATTGAAAATAGTTCATTAAGATGCCAAAATTTTGGACCAGTTACTTCTCTATCCAGAAGGGCAAGCAAACTATGAGGTCTTATAGTATTCTGTCCTTGTGGCACTGAGTACTCATTTTCTGATATGAGGATATAGAAATTTAGAGAGCCATGTAGGGCTAGTCAGTAGATTCATGTGTAGAACAGCATTCATAGAAAAAGGTTACTCCTCTTCTTAAAGTGAACAGATATATTTTTTCTTTTCAAGACAAAATGATTAGGACCCAATAAGAGTTGTACGCACCATGGAATAAATTCACTAATGATAACATCTTTGCTTACCCAGACAGCTAGTTTAACAATATTGGTCAGTGTGTAATATGAATCCCAATAAACTGACCAATAAAAAGCATTGGTTTATTATTACAGTGATACAACCTCGGGATAATTTTAAGGGCTTCCAGAAATTAGTCAGATTATTATAGGCATCCGTGTTTTATCTAGCATTAAAGAACTTGGTACAAGCTAAGGGGTATTTAAGCAATGATAAAAATCATCCCTGACTAGCCACAGTGGCACTATACCTCTGAAGCTTCTGGCACCAGATAACCATTGTAGTAAAACTGCTAACTGTATAGAAGGGCAATGTGATAATTTGTTGACTGATAAAAATACCTGTGGTCAAGTTGCTAACTTGTTATGCAATGTTACATATTTACTATAGTCTTACAAGGGACTCTCCTGCACAGATCTTCCCTTGACTCTGCTTTCACCATTCCATAGATTGTGACTATCATAAGTCATTCATGCCCAGCATGAAGTTTTCTTTACTCCATCACTTCTGATGCAGAGATAGAATGATTTCAGAAATGGCAAAGAAAAAGTATTTGAATAAAAGATGAACTTCTTCTCTAAGAACTTTTTTTCTCTCTTAGAGATACTTTTGAAATAATTAATGTTGTTTTTATGTCCTACAACTCTAACAATAATTATCAAAAAATGGTTAAATTCATGAATTCTCCCAGTGGAGCCTTCAAGTCTAATATTTTCATCTCTCTTTTCCTTGTCATTTTCAAGTTTCTACCAAACTGTTAGCTATTCCATTAAAGTTGATGTTATATACTGTTACAGCTGTGTGTGTGTGTGTGTGTGTGTGTGTGTAAGTCAGAGTTCAACATCAGATGTCCTTTTCCTCCATTGCTCTCCACTTTATTTTTTGAGGCAGGTTCTCTCAATAAACCTGGAATTTACCAGCTTACTAGACTGGCCAGCTACGAAATTCCAGGGATATTCCTGTCTCTACACCCCTACCCCCACCCCCAGGATGCTGGGGTTACACATGTATGACACTATTTTGTTTTTATTGTGGGCATTAAAGTAGAAGTCAGGGTCCACTGAAATGTTTCCTCAAGCTGTGTAGTAGTGGCTTTTGAGTGGCCTGAATAGAAGGCAGATTGTGATTATCTTTCAATACCTTTAAACAGATATCTATTTAAATCTGTTTACATACCAATAATCACTGATTTTGTAGAAGCCTGTTCTAACAAGTGTTTAAACAAAGTTGAAGACTGTCCTCTCATTTTCTGCATCTTTATTTCTATTTATACATATAGCCATGTATATACAACCTTAGAGACACATAAAAAGAATTTATTTGAATTTGAGATTTAGTTTCTGTGAAAGAACAATAGAAACCAGGAGATTTTTGTTAGCTGAGTCTGGAAAGTCTTGGCCCAGAGTTATTGGGAGAGAAGTACATTTTCCCTTGAAGATAAATGCCTAGTGAACATTTTCAAAAGAACTTTAATTCAATAAGATATAGTGTTACTAAGTGATAACATTTCATTGTCAGAGGCATCACTTTTTAAAAGCTGCTTAAGAACAATTTAGCCTCAAATCCAGAGGATTTGTTTTTGTTTGTTTTTACTATATTTTGTTGACTTTTATTTTTTGGATATTTTTTTAAGTAGACAAAAATCTGATACATATATTGAATGACTCCAGTAAGTAAATATGCTTATTTCTCACCTGTATTAAGTGACTACAGAGACCTGGGTTTGATCCCCAACACCACATAAAACCAGGTGTGCTTGCTGATAATCTTAGCAGTGGAAGGTAGAGTTGGGAGGATCAGCAATTCAAATTCTGTTGACCATCTACTGCTGAGCCTACAGCCTACCCCTAAGAGTAATTTGTTTCTCCTGTGAGACTCACTTGGAGAAAATTAAATATTCATTTGCAAGTGGTTATCAATTGGAGATAGCTTTAGGGTTAGGGATGAGGGCTTGTGTCCAATTCTTTCAGTTCTAGGAACCTATCTGGTGCAGACCCCTGCAGGTCCTGTGCAAGCTGCCTCAGTCTCTGTGAGTCCATATGTACACTGGTCCCACTGTGTTTAAAAGGCCTAGTTTCCTTGGTGTCCTCCATTCCTTCAGGCTCTTATAATCATTCTGCCTCCTCTTCGTCAGGGTTCCCTGAGTCCAAATGGGAGGGATTTGTCAAAAAGGTACATTTCTGAAGACACAAGGACAACTTGCCCAGGATGGAGATTCCTTGCAATACTGCTAGAGTAACTTCAACCCTATTCTTTATCACAAATCTCTACTTCTTGCCCCTGTTCAGCTGAGCCCTGAGATAACATAATACAATCAAGTAGTGGTCTTTTCTTTTCGTGTGTAATTTTAAGAGTCTGTGTATGCTACAAGAGATTCCTTTATGTTGAAATTTTATAACTTAGTAGAGTGAGATACAATTAAACAAAAAGTTAGCTTTCAGTAGGCAAGAGTTATAACATCATGCGAACACAGAGGTGAATAGCTAACCTGCTTTGTGAACAAGAACACATTGACAAGCATATTTATCTGTTTTCTGAAATAAACAAACTGTGAGGTAGGCAATGTGCCAGATCCTAATAAAATGAAAGACATAGACTGTCTTAAGTGGAGATTAGTATTTGTAAATGACTTGACTTTTCTAGAACAACAGTGACACACAGCTTTAAGATGCTAATGTTTTTCTAATCTCTGATGTATTTCCAACACCTGGCTTATAGTTAATTCCAGAGGGAAACTTTCATTTATATGCTTGGCTGAGTAGAAAATGTGTCAGCTTAGTTTCAAAAGCAAAAATACTGGTGTTAGTCCTAGTCAGGCAGTTCACTGAACTTAATTAAACCTGGAAGCTCCAGGAAGCTGAGAAGGATAACTTCCAATTTTGCCTTTTTGTAATTTAAATAACAGGACATCCTAAAATCCCCATCATGTTAATATTTTAAAAGTAGTTCAAGACAATCACTTTTAAGTTCTTGCTCCTAGAAAGTGCTTATAAATTATTCTTCTTGTTGCTCTCTATAATAAGTGTCTTTGTTGCACTAGTCACACAAATAGTCTCCACACTAGCCAAGACTTGTCAGACTGGTTCTCTATGGTTCATAAGTGACTTCTTTCTTCACCTCACTTTAACCTACAAAGCCACGGATGAGCTGATGCACACGCTCAGTCGCAGACCCGTCACCACAGGTCTCGGATCTTGCTAGTCAGCGATGTATCGGTGAGTTCCTGTCTCCTTTCTACCCAATTAACTATAGTCTTCAGTGGTCTGAGACAACCAAGGACTTGGCTCCCCAGCCAATTGTATTTGGTTTTTACTTGACATTGTGCCAAGTAGGTTCTTGTACAATCCGTAGGAGTGTTCCCCCTCTCTCTCTCTCTCTGCTCAGGCTCAGAAGTTTTCCAAAATGTAATGGAGACAGTGATGTACTGCTATGCTTAGTTTGCTTGTTTTGGGGAAGAATACAGTGTTTTTCTGATTTAGGCTTTATTGGTCTTATGAGAACATATACTTATTTCATAAGGTATACATAAAAAATATAAATGTGAAATCATGTGGTTAAAGTTGTTTACTTCTCTAAGTAGTCCAAAATTAAAAAGTGTAACCTATTTTGAAAGAATAAGAAGCAATTAAAGATGACTGCTTTAAAGAGCTAAATTGTCATAATTAGATTTCAAAAAGAAATCTAGTGATGGAGATGTAGTAGTTCATGGGCAGAGCATTTACCTGGCTGGTAAGAGACTCTGGGCTGAAACCTCAGCACAACAAACACATCAAACTCCAATATACCTGACCATAACAAACTTCTCTATTGTTTTCTTTCAATGTTAGAACCTAAGTAGTAACAAAATTTTAGTCTACTAATTTTAAATCAAAATAATCTTATTTAATTTTATATTAAAACTTATTTTCTAAAACATATTGATAAATCTACTGACTTATAGTTGATAAGTAAGTATCTTTAACACTTTGAGGAGAAAATATAAAAAAGGCAGTGGAATCTGTGCCTTCACTGCATAAGGAAAAAGCCTGTTTTTGTCACTGATAGAAGTTCTCCATGTATTCAGTGAGAAGTTGGATATTCCTCTACTCTTTCAAAGAGGCAACTAAGAGTTACAGATCTTATAAACATGTGATGTCTGCCTTTTACAAGCATTTTAATAACCCATGATGCTCCTTGTATCTTTTCTTCTTCCTTTCATTCACTTTTATAATATTACTGTAGAAAATAGTACTTCAAGCAAGTCTTTATTGAGTTCACCATACTAGCATTCAGATTGTGTCTGTGTTAGATCTGATTGAATTTGAGTTTGAGTTTTAACATGTAGAGAGGCTGAAATGAAGCAAATACTTTGGTGAATTCTTTTTCTATAATTTATCTCTTATTTAAAACAGAAGATTTGTTAATTTTCAAAAGTCCTGTTTCAAAATAGATTATCTTTAAAGTAAACAAACAAACAAAAATCCCAAACCAACTAACAATCCAAAACCTCCCAGATCTGAAGACTTTATGACAGGTGAAACAGACTATGTGGGAATGGGGGCAATACTGGATGAGGTAGCAAAGGGTGGGCTTAGGTGGAAATGAACTGGGCTTATTACACAAATTTTCAAAAGATTGCTCTGAAGAAATCAGAATAAGTGTATGTTGATGGTTTCAGTTGGAGGACTTTGTCTCATTACTAGAACATAGAAGAAATAGCTGGGAAGTTTCTGTATTCATCTTTAGACACATTCTGACAGCCTTCTCCCTATCCCATCTAAATGAGAATCACTGTTTAAGACATTTAAGGGTAAGAAAAAATTTAGATTGGGTGAAGATTCTTCCTGTTACTCTTCAATGTTCTTCAAATAGTTATGATATTCTTTGAGTATGAAGAGATCAACACATTGATTTTATAAACACACACAGAAGAAGAAAGCCAAAGAAATTCTTACTGTGTAAGCTTACAGGAGGAAGCTTGGGAGGAGAAGATATTTCTTAAATTTTTTTCTATAAATTTTTATTTAAATTAAAAACAATCTTATTTTACATACTAATCCCAGTTCCCTCTCTCTCCCATCCTCCCATGCCCCCCACTAACCCCCATCCCACCCCCCCAATATTTTTATTTTCCTAAGTATGTTTGCCAGTAACTGATGATAATGCAAATTAAAAGTAAGTGGATAAAACTTATAGGGACTAATATATATATTTTTTTAGCTGAAGGTGAGATGAGTAATATTCAAATGAAACAAAATATACAACTTTAATTTTTACTTACAAACTACTTTTCAAAGAGTGGCCCATGTACACCCTCTCATTAGAATCAATCAGCACTTAATACAAGTAGAGTTATTTAGCCCCATGGCATAAAGCCCCAGAAAGCTGTGATTGAACCACATGTTAAAGATTTGCCCAAAGGAAATCTGAAGTCCATGATGTTTGAGGAAAAAAACAATATAGTGTAGACTATATTGAGGAAGGAATATGTGAGTCTGGAGAAAAAAAAACAAAGAATAAATGAAACAGTTGTTATTAAAAAGAAGTCATCCTTTGCTTTATTTAAATTGAAATAATTATATCTTAATGAGAGGTGCTCTCTTCCTAGACACCTTTCCCTTCAAGGAAGATGAGCACTTATTTATGCAGCATGCTGATGATGATGGAGGCAAGGGTAATTTCAGAAGGATTGGAAACTTAAGGGAGGGTGCAGACATATTGGGTAGTTTATGTCAAACAGGGAAACAGGTCTTATTTTCATCTTCAAAATAGGCTTGTTTACAGGAAAAACTTCACTGTAAAAACTACACCACACCCGGAAATTAGTCAGTAATGATATTGAAAGGAATTTTCATTGACAGGTAGGTTTAGAGTTGCAACATGTCTGTGCTACAAGGGTTTAACATGCACTCATTTCTCTTTCAGTTAAGGTCATTCCTGTTCATGGAAAAGGCTTTAGCAAGCTTTCGTTGGGATAAGCCCTATGTGGCCTCACATTGTGTATCATGTAAAGTCTATTCCATTGAGTAATGCTCTCCTATATGATTACTGTTATCACTCCTTTTAAAAGATAAGGTGTTGTGTGGTTCAAATGGTGCAGGCTCAATGTGGGATCTAGCATCCACACTTGTGGTCTGGAATTCCAGGCCCTTTTACCTATAACAGAGTGTCTACCACAGGTAGTAAATGAAGGACCATTTAGTCATCGGAGAGCTTGACGGAAATGAAAGAATCCACCATATATCTACATGGATAAAACATGAATACATAGGTCAAGAGACAGATGGTATATAAAGCCAACATGAAGTTGTCTACAGATGTGCTGAAAGACTGGAGGATAATTCCACTTTCATGTATGGGTTTCTAAACATCTTTAAAGAATCAGCTGTCTTGCTAATGCTATAAAATGAACATGTGACCCAGTTTCCGTACTGTCTTAAAGGTGACCAGTGACTGTGAGCACATTTAGATTATATCACTGTTTTCTACAAATGAGTTCATTGGCCAGAATTAACTGTATCTGTCTTTTCTTCTGGAATGAGTTTGGTTATTTTAAGGAGGAAACAAATGGAAACATCAGCACTAAGTTTTATACCCAAATCTAATAGTATTCTGTACTCAGTAGTTGTGGAGTAGTTCTCCTGTGATATTATGTGAAAAAAATAGAAGATATTACTAGTTACTCAGGTTGGGTGAGGTGGCATTCAGGAAGCTGAGGCTGTAGGAAGCTTCAGGTTCAAAAGTTCATGGACATCCTGGGCAATATAGTAAAACAGTTCAACAAAACAGAATAAGATAGAATTCATTCAAGCATATTTTCTTGGAGCTACTTAATTGGAGATCGTGGGTGGGAAATGTAAAGAAAAACTTCACAGGTCTGAGATCAGTAGATTAGGGTTCATGAAGAACTGAAGGCTGAGGATTTAAAGTGGGCTGCAGAGGCATTAACACATCATGCCAGGACCTGTAAGCCTGACATTTCTCCAAGTACATACATGGTTTGTGTAGGAGGGTGAGTTCTCAGGGTTTTCAAATAATTCTAATATGATAAACTAGTTTCAGGGAAATTCAAAATACCACTGAAGCATCATCAAATTTTATCGTGCAGTGTTTCATCTGAAGATGCCAGATGACATATGTATTTTGGAGCTGAATAAGTAAACACAGAGGGATTTTCCACTTTGTCTAAAGTTTAACTGTGAGTCAGAGCAGGGCAAAATAATAACTTCTATCATTTGAGTATACTGTGTAACAACTACCATCCAAAACCTATGTAGACTCCAAAACCTATGTTTTAATTGCAATGCTGACGCATCCTTGGCTGGGCCTTTCTGTTCATCTATGTAGTTAACTGTCTTACTGTGTTAAGAGATAGAGAAGTTATACTTTGAAAGAATGATTCAGTTATCTAATAAATGTTCTTTAAAATTAGCCTCTGTAACAGGAAGCATGAAAATTCCATTCCACAAAGGGAACAAAACACTGCAAGATTAGATAATTTGCATATGGCCACAGGAATACATGAGTCAGTCAGTACTAGAGATAGAATCTGACCTCCCAGTGCACCTGTGTACTATGCACAGTTTAGGAGGAGAGACAGATTAGTGTGGGTTAACTACACAGCCCACGAACTGTTGTTATGACTAACACTATTAGAACTTGAATAAAAATAGATGGCCCTCTTAAAAATTAACATTTTACATTTATTATGTACATGTTGATTTGAAATACCTACACATTACAGGATGGTTAAATTGAGCAAATGAATATATATAGTACTTCATATAGATTATTATTTTTTAGTGAGAACAGGTAAAATCTACTCTCAGTATTTTTCATGCATATGACACATTGTTATTAAATGTAGTTACCATGTGGTAGCTCTCTTGAGCTTATTCCTCCTAGTTAACTCAAAGTCCATTTTATAAAGCTAGACTGAATATTGAAATCTTGTCAGGCCATATGTCATAAAATGCAGAGAGGATACATGTAGGAAGAATAAAAAAAAATTCCCTGAGAGATATAGATTCCAATATATAACTTATCATTTGTTGCCTTCTAGCAACCCCTTGAGGCAGCTAATTTTAATAATTAGATGGCAGTACATAAAGGAAAACCAAAGGTTGATGGAACTGAATCAAGCCATTGTTAAGCACTTGGTCATTGGGAATTCAAAGAGTTCTAACCTTTGCTTTAAAAATGTACACACCTTGGCTAACAGGAAGTAGCAGTATGA